ACACATATATATATATATATATCTGTGTGTGTACTGATTGAAGTTTATAAAAAACTGAAAGTTAAATATGTTCACGATAACTTACGCTATGTGACATGCCAAAATGTCAGCTCAAAAAGAAAATATTATGAGATAAGCTACATCAAAATGTTTTACATCAAGATGAATGAAATTTAGAGCAATAAAAATACAAACTCTTTATTTACAGCATTAATTTTCAGGATTATAAGATATTCTGAAATAATGATTTTCCTTTTTTAATATTTGTATTAAGTCCATCTTAAAGTCTGATTAAAAAAAAAAAAAAAACATTTTAAAATAGACAATTCACATGCCAAGTTAGCTTCGCCAACATGCAAAACCTTGCTTCCATATCAACCTAACTTCTTTTCTTTTGGTTTAGGTTATCCACCGCCACCTAACTGTTCCAGTGCGCCATTGAGAAATAACTCCTGCAATTTGTGGCTGTTTGCCTTCCACTTTCATTCTTATTTTATACAAAGTTTTAATAAGGTTATGACATTATAAGATGTTGCCGTATTTATGGTTTTAATATTAGGTTCATCTAACAATCTAACATCTGTATTGCACGACAATATGTTGAGTACATATGTAACAGTTATTGATTCAGAGATGTATCAAGCTGATGCGAGTCTGATTAAGTTTATTTAATTTTTTTTAATAGTCTTAGGTTTGGGTGTTATTCTAATTTTTAGTTTTATTTCTACTTTTTGATGTGGACTTCTATGTAATGATTCAAGGCTTCTCTTGAGCTTAGATCCATTTATTGATAAAAAGTTAAAATTGAGTTTCCTATTAATCCTAATCACTTGTTATTTCTTCCATACCTTTTGTCGTGGATCCTTAATTTCACCATATCTCTTCATTCTTGTTGCAAAAATGTTCGGATTATGTTGGTGGTACTAGGAATTTTTTAGAAAACCTTAGATCAACTTATGCTATGTAATATGGTACAATATAATTGTTAAAGTTTTATATGAATACAATCCACCCCATCCCACCAAATAAAAAGACGACGCTACGCCTTGTTATATCAAAATCTTAGATACTAGATACTAATTTGTCAGTGGATTCACACCACCAAGGAAAGAGCTAGAAAAGAGCTTGAGCCCAAGAAACAAGGACAGAAAATTAAGAGAAATGAGTGCACTCAAAATTAAGGAATTAAAAAATCCCTTTACTCTGCAACTGCTATCCTTATTTATAGATGGACTGGCCTGAAATACGTTACACATTCTCATTAATAACAATATCAAGAGTTACATGATTTATCTTTTTGTGAATTCCTCGGGATCCAAACCTCCCTTGGGGTCAAGCTAATCACTCTAGCCACCTTGAGCTTGAGCTAGCCACTTGACCAAGTGGTCAAACCCAATCCAAGTCAAACTAAGCCCAACCTCATTTCCTACTTGGATCTTGGCCATGAACCATCTTTGGACTAAATTGACTTGACTTCACAACCTCCCTACCTCTCTCAGTGTGAAGGTGACCACACCTTCCCTGGCCAGCCACCTTAGTCGCCGAAAATTCCAAGCCCGAGAGCTCCTCCTTGGTTCAACCCAAAATTATGACTCCCTGACTTGGGTCATTTCCATCGGGCAATGAAGCCTCTCTTCCCTTCACGTAGGCTTCATATTGACCACCTTGGCTTGCCCTTTTGGCCATCATGGCCATGGTTATAAATTGATCACCCCTCATGGCCAAATAGGGAGAACTACTAAGACCTTGGCGAAGCCTTGCCAAATTGTTCCTAGAGCCTCTAGCAACCTCGAGAAGTTCATCCCCACTACTTTCCAACCCTCTCCTTCACTAATTAGCCCCAATTTTAAGCCTGAAAATAAGGAAATTTCACGGACATACCACCAAGTCCACCAAAACTCCAAATTGATTGCTCAAAAATTTGCACAAGAGCTCAAGGATACTTCCTCAATCAAAACCCTCTCTCCCTTGCATAACATAGTCCTAAACCAAACCCGATCCACCCTCTGATTAAAGTCATACCTAGGCCCAACACTCGAGCAAAGCAATACTTGGAGGCATTTGTGAACTCAAGGTGAAGCTCAAGAACCAATCCAATTATGGCTACACCTCTTGGACAAAGGTATAGATGAAAATCCCCAAATTTGTGCTTGGTTTGGAACTTATGAAGACAACTTGTATTTCATATACATGTAACCGTATATATAGGTTTGTATCACCTAGATGAGGCTGTAGGAAAAAAACTTCACTTAATTTGGTTGAGTATCGAGCGAGATCTCAAGGTTAGAAAACGAGCGGTTCTCGGGTTTGGTAGATCAGGAACAATGAATAGATGTCGTCCATTTGGGCATGTATCGATCAGACGACAGAGAAGGAGTCAGACGAAGGAATGGAGCGAGAGCGTGGGGCTGAGTCAGCGACTACGTGGACAGCGGTGCCAAATCAAAGAAAGTCACATGGAAAGCTCGACGCATACGAGGACGCGGTGGCGCCGACGTGGATTAGTAGGAAGTTAGGGGTATTTTCTGTTTTAAATAATTATAGAAACTTCAAAAGTTTATAATTTGGTGGAGAAAAATGCATAAAATAAAAGAAAAATACGCCCTGTTATCAGTGAATAAAGAAGAATAATATGGACTAAAAATAATAAAAAAATTTATTTATTTTTATTTTTCAATTAATTAAATATTCTAAAACCTCTAAATACTAAAATATTAATCATAAAAATGTGAATGCTTATGAATATTCTCTGATTTTTTCAAAGTAAGAGGACACCTCTAACTTTGGAAACCCTAATTCTCAAAGTGGATCACCCTTATTTTGCTTAAAATAATTATAAAAAAAGTCAGAAAATTATAAAAATTAGTTAGGTAGGTTCATGGTGGTCAGATAAACTTAGAAA